ACGGCTGACCGTCGATGGCAGCCCTGAGCGCCGCCTGATTCACCAGATTTTCTAAGTCAGCGCCAGTGAAGCCAGTGGTTCCGCGAGCGAGCATTTCCACCTTCACATCACTTGAATACTTCACTTTCGAGAGGTAGAGATCAATGATCTCTTTTCTGCCTTTAAAGTCAGGCACCGGTACCTGAACTTCGACGTCGAAACGCCCGGGCCTTAGAAGAGCGCGATCTAAATCGTCGCGTCTATTAGTGGCGCCCAAAACGATAACCCCTTCGTTCTGTCGGAATCCGTCCATTTCGGTCAGCAATTGATTGATTGTCTGATTGGCGTACGGATGGAGTACTGAAGTGCTCCGTTTGGCACCGACTGAGTCGATCTCATCGATGAACACAACACACGGGGCTTTCAATTTGGCGGTACTGAACAAATCGCGGACACGACGCGCTCCCTGTCCGACGAGGATCTCATCGAATTCAGGTCCCGCCGCGTGAAAGAAAGGAACGCCAGCCTCTCCGGCCACCGCTCGGGCCAACAATGTCTTTCCAGTGCCGGGCGGACCGACCAGTAGTACTCCTTTTGGCAGTTTTCCGCCCAAAACTGAAAACCTTTCGGGATCTCTGAGAAAGGAACGCCAGCCTCTCCGGCCACCGCTCGGGCCAACAATGTCTTTCCAGTGCCGGGCGGACCGACCAGTAGTACTCCTTTTGGCAGTTTTCCGCCCAAAACTGAAAACCTTTCGGGATCTCTGAGAAACTCTACGATTTCTTGCAATTCCTGTTTGGCTTCGTCTACGCCTTTCACGTCGTCGAAAGTCACGTCAATGTCTTCGGGATGTACTTCGTTGGGACCGCCAATCAATACACGCTTGAATGTACCGCCTATTCATACAATCAATACAAAAATAAATCATTAAAATTATATCAAATAATTAGTGACTGAATGGTAGTGACAGTAAAGAGGGAGACAAACATGAATACATATAATGTACCCGCAGTTTGCTCACCCATAAAGGAGAACAGAATCGCTATGATTAACGCAATTCCCATTAAGTCACGGAAAATGTTGAAAAATCGGAGTTTGGATGACATCTTAGGTCTGGGTTCGGCTGCCAAATATCCCTCAGCGAAAGCAATCTGTGATTCAAATAACACCAACGCTTAGAAATTGCACATCAATTCGGGTTATAAAACATGGATCACAACCTTAAGGCTGTTTTTATCCTCAACGCTGAGATTTCCATCGTTCAGAATTTCCCTCATTTTGTCGCTCTCTGTCTCTTTGTGTTTCTCTTTGCTTAGTCCGAAAATGGAGCCCAACTTCATGTTCCCAACCGATGTCTGTTCCTGTGATGTCTTCTCCGTATTACGACTTCTGGTACCGCTTCCGATACCAGTCGTAGGTTTACTCTTAAACGTACGGATCTGACTGTAGTTGTGATGAGTGTACGATGAGATACATCGGGAGAACAGCTTATACTGTGTATGTCTGGTCTGGTCTTTGGGAGTAAACGAGACATTGAAATGTATGCACGAAATAAGTGCTAAACAACTTTGAGCTCACATTTGTTTTCATCGAAAGTGTAGTGCGAAGCGTATGAAGTGATCCACGGAAGCGGTTCTCGTTTAACCGCAAGAATCTTATTCACGAATATCTTTGCGGTTCTGTTCTTCGCGTAATTCTTATCACTTGAATTGAAAACAAATTCTTCTAATAATAGTTTTCGTGACTTTTTATCACAAAATATCTCATTTACGCTTTTGAGAGCCAAATCCATACTCTCATGACTAACTGATTCATTGCAAGTGTCATCACTTCCCGTCACTTCGTGTCCTCTTAAGCGCCTCTGAAGAGGTCGCTTCCCATTCAATATTGAGGCCAAACATGTGGTCAATGGACTCAATAACTGTTTCATCACAAGACAAACACAATTGATTGATAACTCTTAGGACAGAGTAATAGTAAAAATAAATACAGACTTGAATTTGGGTTTGAAGTGATGACAGACTTCCCAAACAAACACTCATTTCCGACCAAAACTACAATTAAAGCATAATATTATCATTTAATTCATATCATAATCAAAACAATCAACACTTTGACCACTCAATAGGCAGTGGAGAGGCGTAAGGCATGTGTGGCCATAACCCGCGGCCTCAACCCCTGCCACACGTGACCCGAGGCCAGAGTGAACGGACCCGTCGGCGTCCTCTGTGTGACCGCCGCTGTCTTGAGTGGCAATTAGTGTTCATATCATACCAATTGTGTTGAAATTAATGCCAATCAATGAGTGAGTGATTTGATCACATCATCGGCTGATATGACAAGTGGTCAACACTTATGACTACTAATGATATTAGGGGTTAATTTGGGTGACAATTAGTTTGAAGCACTTGTTTGGCAGTCAATACAACTTCAATCAGAACTTCAATCAGCGATCGAATGAATGGATAAATAAAGTGAGAGTTTGTGTGCATTCACTGCACATAACGTACGAGAAATACAGAGTCAATACAATTGTGTGTAAAGTGTGTCCGCGTTATGAATGTGGTCTGTATTTGTGTCCAAACGGATCCATTCAATGGATAGTGTCCTCAAATGGTGTGTCAATTATCAATTGAGTCACTTCTTGTGCCCAAACAGTTGACCACAAGTTGTGGCGAAGTTTTGTGGCCGTAAT